GCTTGGGGAGAGAATGTGAAGAAAGGGATAGGATAACAAAGTAACATGGTAAGAGCTATTCATATTCAGCTCTTCTATTTCCCAAGATAAAGACTCAAGCTGAAAAAGGGTAGGACAGTTGTTAAGTAGGAATTGATACAACATATATTACAAAAGGGGAGATTCTTTATAGAGCGTTCTTAACATATCCATAAGAAACATACTAGGTACTTTGCTGAGGGCTTTGTATATATTTGTTGTTTCTCTGACAGCGCATATTTTGCAGATGAGGAAATGAAGGCTTAGGATCGTGGCTTAGTCAATATCATATAGCTAAAAAGTGGTCAGGCCAGACTTCGAACCAGGCAATAGGAAAACGAAACCCTTCTGTGGAGCCACTTCTCGATAGGGGAAGCCTATCGAGCCACTTTTCATCTCCCCATGAAAAAGTCCCAGTAGAAAAAATTGTACCTAAGTAAGCAAATCACAAAAGAACAAATGCCAATGGGTGACAGAGGGTCAGCCTTGCTAGAATTAAAAATGTGTATTAAAGTGAGAGTTGAGACAGTACTTTTTCCCCCCTCATAAAACGAAGATTCAGGGACATTGGGACTCCAATGCTGCTGGTGAGCTGTAAATAGGTCGGATCTCTGGCAATCAATACCAGAAGCCTTAAGCATTGCCTTTTGACTTTAAAATTCTACCTGGAAATGTATGCTTCAGAAAACATCATGAATGTATACAAAGTCTTAAAACGCTGTTAAAAAAGTGATGTTGATGTCAAAAGAAATGACAGCATACCTTAAGTAAAATAGAACATGTACAATATGACTCCATGTAAAAATATATTTATGCATTAAAAATCCTGGAAATAATGTGATCTCAGAGTGCTACACTGGCTATCTCTGGGTGATAAAATTATAGGTGATTTAATTTTTTCTTGTGATTTTTCTGTCTTCCAAACTTTCCTACAATAAATACTTGTAACCTTAGAGGAAAAAAGGGTAAAAGGAGTGAGCGCCCAGAATAGTCAAGAAATACTAAGAAAAGCACATGCTTTCTGTAGCATCTCTGTCCTTCCCAAGTCCTAGGTTATCTGACTTGTTAACTGACCCTCTGGCCCATGACTTCCTCATTGTTAAGTGACAGTGACAGACACAACCATCTCACACTAGTGTACAGAAAAGTCCTGCAAATTATCTCTGTGCAAATACAAGTTATTTGCATGAAGGATTTCTGTAGTTGAGGAAAACAATAACCTTGAAGTAGAGCCCTTTGTTCGTGTTAGTGCTTTTCCATGAATTCTGCAGCCATAAGCAAGTCCCCTTACAACTCCACCCTCAGCTTAAAGGAGCTGAAGTAGATGATGTTTTATAGTTAAAGCTTCAACGTTCTTTGTGTTTATGAAAGAGCAGGCACCAATATAAGGTAGATGTCAAAGGGGATTTTATTTTTTAATTTTTTAAAAAGATTTTACTTATTTGACAGAGAGCGAGGGAGGGAACACAAGCAGGGGGAGTGGGGGAGGGAGAAGCAGGCTTCCAGCCGAGCAGGGAGCCCGATGCGGGGCTTGATCGCAGGATCCTGGGATCATGACCTGAGCCAAAGGCAGACGCTTAACGACCGAACCACCTAGGTTCCCCTCAAAGGTGATTTTAAATAAGATGTGCAATTTAGGCAGGGTGCTTACTATCACTTTCCTACCTCTTGCCTTCTCCCTCCTCATTTCCATAGACTGCAATTAACTGTCCAGATGGAGATTGGAAATTTAAGCAAAGCTGACCTTGGTGTCTCCAAGCTCCCCTGTGAATTCCTTTGCTTCTCTTGCCCCATTAAGTGAATCCTCCAAGTAAGAGGGATTGCCAATTAGACTATTTCCCATGTACAAGAAACTGACCTGGAGAGCATTTCTGCAAAGAAGGGTGAGCCCTGTGGGCAGACCTTGCTTTCTGGTGGGTCAGAACCAGACATTGCTACTCAGTAACTTTATCATCTGCAGCTGTCTTCTTAGCTGGTGCAAATGATCACAAATCTAAAGGGTCTTAGGGTTTTTCTGCACATGTTTCCATTGAGGACCAGCTGAGAGAGGAGGGGAAGTCCAAGTCCATGGAGTCTCCGGGGGGGGGGGGGGTACACACAATGTGTATGTGTTTAAAGAGGCTATTTGTTCTTCCCATGATTTCTCAACCAGCTGCCCCTAAATTTTGTGACTTCACCTGGTGAACTGTAGCCCAAGGGACTAGCTATGTTTCCAGACACCTGAACCAGGAAATAAAAGCCAAGCACGCCCACTCCCTGATTTCTTGCCACAATTCCCTCCCGCTTTCTCCCAGCACACCTCCACTTGTGTTACTAGGCTCCCTATTCCTGAAAAATCATTTCAAAGCAAAGCTTAAGATTCAAATTTTATTATAATACATCTTGTATTACATTCTAATGCTAAACAGTTTAAGTAGATAGTCAAAGTATAAATGTTAAAATCAGTTACTAAAAATGATTTACCAAACATAATTTTTGCCAAAAAATACTAGCGTTGGGGAAAGAAAAAAATAATAGAACTGCAAAATATTAACAATGTTTTTGTGGGTGGTGGGATTGAGGGTGACTTGTACTTTCTCATTTTCTGTATTACCAACATTTACAATTAATTCACAACCTGGGAAAAAAAAACCCTATTGAATACAATTAAAAACATGAAATCATCCAATTGTCACCTAGAGGAAAAGGCAACTTCATCCATTTGAAGGGTCTCTCCAGAATTCCGACTGACCTCACTCAATGAAAATCCTCCAACCTATGGATACAGAGACTGCCCCCCCGCCACGCCCAACTTCACCTCCCCTATTACCCACAACAGCTTTGATCACCAACAGACAACCCACAACAGCTTTGATTCAAAAGAGACAGTATTCGGAAGGGAAATCAAACCTTCTCTTACATATGAATTGCCTTCAGCAATTAATGGTGGGTTAATTAAAACTGCCAAAATAAAAATTAGCAGAGAAGTAGAGTTTTGAGTAATCTAGGGGGTAATTCAATAAGTATTCATTGCCTTCAAGTAGCTTAGTATCTTTGAGCCTGATGATAAGGGGAGGAGACAGGAAATGAGGAATAGTGGATCCTGGGAAGGCAGACCTCCCACTCCTATGCTCCTGTCAGCTTCCCATTTCCTGAGCCCCAGGGTTATGGGACACCAACACTGTCCCTCTAGCCTCCAATATGTTTTCCTTCCTTGGTGTACCTACATGCTTTTTTCCTTACGATGCACCAAAGTCTACCATCACACTAATTGTCCTGAGTCCCTCAAGGTCTCTTAAGTAACTCTGGATCTGGGATAGGCTATCCAACTCACTGATTATAAACAGGAAGTGAGGAACCAACACAAGTCCTGGCTTCTGAACCAGAGTCTACAGGAACAAATTCCTGCTGGAGGAGTCCTGATGAAGAGACATCTGTAGGTCCTGTCTCCATGCCTTTGTATGTGCTATAACAATCTCTGTCTATAATGTTCTCTTCCCTCTTGCCTTGACCTGGCTTATACCCACCCTTTATCCCCCAAGAGATTTCATCACATCCAAGAAGCCTTTAGTGTCTCATAGACTAGGTTAGGTGGCCCTGCCACGTATTTTGACAGAATCCTAGATTATTCTACTTATCACACTTTACTGTAATTACCTGCTTAATAAATATATATGTATCCCATTAGCCCTTAACTCTGGGAGGGCAATGGCTATGTCTGCCCCTGATGACTGGCACATAGCAGGTGCACAATAAACAGACAGACCTCAATTGACCTCAGGAAGCTCAGGGCTGAGAAGAGAACTGGCAAGGGGGCAGAGTGAACTATAAATGGATCCAGAGCATAATTCAACATTTCACAACCTCATAATTGAACACTTCAGAGAACCAAGTAACTCTCAGCATATGCCTCCAACAGCCACATGCATGCTGTTCTTGCTGGACAGAGATCCTTGCCCTGGGAGGCACCACCTCGCAGTGCATCTTATAAGGCGTTCTTTCAGGATCTTTACCCCAAACCTGGCTTTACTGTGAAGGTGCCCATTCAACACATCAACAACCACCTTTCTGTGGATCTCCTTGTACAGCGAGTACTGACTTAGACTGGAAGGACAGAAACCCTGGTCTCGGGAAACCTCACTTTGGTGGGAATCTCACCACCGAAGTGAAACCCTGGTATTACACAATTGTACAATCCTTACCCAAGAGTTAAACTCTGGTGTGAGTTCTCTGGTGCTGCATAAGGCCTGACCTGTGCCTAAATGTTTTCCTACATTCGCTACACTCATAAGGCTTCTCCCCAGTGTGGATTCTCTGGTGCTGCGTGAGGGCTGAGCTCTGATTGAAGGATTTTCCACATTCGTTACACTCGTAAGGTTTTTCTCCAGTGTGAATTCTTTGATGTTCAATAAGGACAGAGCTTCTACCAAAAGCTTTACCACATTCAGTACACTCATAGCCTTTGTCTCCAGTGTGAATTTTCTTGTGCTGAATGAGGGCTGAGCTTCGGCTGAAGGCTTTCCCACATTCACCACATTCATAGGGTTTCTCTCCAGTGTGAATTCTCCGATGTCTAATGAGCTCTGAGCTGCCCCGGAAAGCTTTTCCACATTCACAACATTCATAGGGTTTTTCACCACTATGAATCCTCTGATGTCTAACAAGGTCCGAGCTCAAACTAAAAGCTTTGCCACACTCTTTACATGCATAAGGCCTCTCTCCAGTGTGAATTCTCTGATGTCTAATCAGCTTTGAGCTCTGGCAAAAGGCTTTCCCACAGTCCAAGCACTCATAGACCTTTCCTCCAACATGAACTCTCTGTCGTGTCAAGACATTTGAATTCACACTGAGATTCCTTTCACTCTTGTTACACTCAAAGACACACTCTTCAGTGGAGATTTTCTTGTTGAAGGTAGCCAGACTAAGATGTCTTTCCCGGGAAGGGAGTGGACTCATTTTGCTCCTTGCAGCAGTTCCTTTTGGCTTCTCAAAGTTGTCCAGACCTCCCAAAGCTTCTTCAACCATCTGTCCTGAAGGAGTTTCCCCAGGGAGTCTTCCTGGGGATATCATGGCTGCTGATGCTACACATTCCATAATTTCTTGCTTTGTTGTTAATACTTTGTCAGCCGCCAGCTTGCGATCTAAAAATGTGAATAGAAATACTGGTGTCATTCGATCCATGTTGGAAGGAAGGAATCTATTATAACAGGAATTGAGAGTAACCCCAATGAAATAGATATTCACCTATTAGGAGGAAAACTCTTAAGAACTAGTTTCCCAATCTCGAATTTAGAGAAGTGGCCTGGAGTGGTGAGAGGTGGCATCCTCAGAGAGTAACGGAGACGAAGCACTGGAGAGGAGAGATGGTGAGCAGGGAAAGACATCAGTTAGAGGAGATGGTGATAAATAGGAGGAGCAGTGAGAGACCAGGAAGCTAGGAGACAATCCTGGGTTAGAGGATTTTTGATAACGAGGGAAAGGAAAAGAGATGATAGGGAGTGTTCAGGAGAAAGAAAGAGGTCTAAGAAACCTGAATAAGTGGTGCTCCTAGAAAAGGAGAGCAGAATATATGACTAGGAAATGCTTTCAGAATTAGAATTGAGCAGAGGTACAGAAGCAGGAACTAGAATGCATTATGGCAATTGCAGGTTCTGGTAGGTTCTAAGTAGATCAAACAATTATAAGCAAATAGAATAAGATACACAGAGGGGCGCCTGGGTGGCTCAGTTGGTTAAGCGACTGCCTTCGGCTCAGGTCATGATCCTGGAGTCCCAGGATCGAGTTCCACATCAGGCTCCCTGCTCAGCAGGGAGTCTGCTTCTCCCTCTGACCCTCCTCCCTCTCATGCTCTCTGTCTCTCATTCTCTCTCTCGCAAATAAATAAAATCTTAAAAAAAAAAAAAAAAAAAAAAAGACACACAGAGCATAAGAAAAGGAATATTGTGGTTTCCTGACTCATTCTGGGATCAGGTGGAGTCTTATATGTTCACTATTTTATGTGCAAATGGTCAAAGGCAGATGGAAACAAGAGGCAGATGTGACCACCTGGAGCCAAACTTTGAGCTCTCACAACCAACCCCTCTAGTTTCTAGATTTTTAGTAACTCAGAAGGAGACTACTAGATGATGGCTGGGAAACCTGAATTATTTTGAGGGGGGAAATCTGAAAAACTGTTCATGTACTTTCATCCTCCCAGAAGTCCTCTAAACTTGAATGCATTTTACAGATCAAGAAATGAAGGCTCAGAGAGGCAACATTACCTATGTAAGGCCATAGACTTCATAATTGGAAGAGCCAGGATTCAAAGATGCCCAACATCAAGGCCTGCAGTTTTCCCCTAGGTCCCCTACCTGTTCAGGGACCTGTGTGGCCTAAATGCCTTTTAACTAGGGACGTGGCTTTAACCACACATTAACAAACATACTTTTAGCCTTGATGTTATGTGGATGATGCTGCACTGCCCATCCAGACCTGCTTTATGAATATGGTGCCTCCTTCCCTCAGCTGCTGTGAGTGTTGGCTCCTAAAGCCACAGCGGCCCCTCCTCTGGAGAGTTGCCCTGGCTGATGAGAACCATCTGGCCCAGGATGTTATTTACACCCTCACTGCCTCACCCCCCACCGCTTTAAGAAGGGACAACTCAGCAGTGCTCAAGGGGGCAGGGCAGGGGTTAAGAGATTAAGCCAACGCTAGGTTTTACCCAAGACCACATCACATCATGGCTTGATCTCTTCCCTTCCTGGGGTGTGAAATGCTCTACATTAATCCTTCAGAGGCAGGTCTAACCAAGACCCTAAGACTAAAAAGAAATGAGCACAATGAGATTTATCAGTTCACAACAGTAATGTGCCACTGGGAGGGAATAAAAACATATGGATGACAACACGCAAGAGTTGCGAAATGAATCTATCATATATTTTAAATTAATCAGATCCTCATTAGAGGTGGGTTTTTTTGATCCCTGTACTTCAAATGAATGTGGAGAAACTGAAGATGTCCAGAGAAATGTGCTAAGATGACCAGAGAGATGGGACGCAGATGGAATCAGAGGCAGTGAGATGCTTAGTCCAAGAAGATGTGGTACTCTTACAGATTTGTCTTCCTTGGATGCTCTGCCTCAGCCCTAAAGATTCCCTACACGTGTTATTCCTGTATTCTTTAGTGTTGTTTCTTTCTTTACCACTTAGTAATCAACCCCATTATAGTCAATAATTCTTAATATTGAACTTCCCTGTTCAAGTTACTATGCAGTTTCTGTTACTGATACATTATTCATCTCCATCTTAGGGACTGCCTTGCCAGTGGACCATAATATTAAAAAAAAACCCAACAACAGTATATTGGTCTTTGAATATTATGGGTATTAGAGAATTTTATTAAAGACCTTAATCCTTAACCCAAAGTTAGAAATTATATTGGAATTTCAGATTCTAGGCATAGCCAATGGAAGGATATTTCAAGGCAAGAAGGGGGCCTTTCCACTCTGCTTAATGACAGCCACAAGTGACCGTCATTAAGAAAATGTGCTATGCCACAGCTGATAGCCCTACCATCATACTCAACCCCGAATGGGCTGCAACTCCTCACCTCTCTCATGGGAAGTCTGGGACTCCTGAGTCTCACTCTTGCCCTGATTCTCCAAGGGCTGGAGCTGTATACTCAGAGCCTTCAGTGCTCCTATGGATGTCATTTCCTTCCAGATCATTCCTTGGCCATGAGCTGTGTCCTAGGAGTAATCAAGTACCAGCACTATGATTCTGAGGATACAGAAGAAAAAAAACCCTAGAACAACGGGGCAAGACAGCTAGAGCCAGAAACTCATTCAGATGATTAGGTAGAAAACAACAGGCCTAAAAGCCCTAATGCCTTGATCCCAGTGGACAAATAATAACCCAAAAGACAAAAATTTTATAACTCTCTGATAGCTGCGACGTCAAGGTGACTCATAATGGCTTCCCCATTAACTTATAATTGGTAAAACAAGCAAACACATCACCTACTTCTTACCTGTTTCCTTGGCTCATCAAGCTCTTTCTCCAGCTCTTCCAACAGGGTCACGGCTTCCTCTCCGTTCTCAGGCTGGTGCTCTCGCACCCAGGCCTGCAGCTCCTCAGGCAGGATGCTCAGAAACTGCTCCAGCACCAGCAGCTCCAGGATCTGCTCCTTGGAGTTCACCTCTGGCCTCAGCCACTGATGGCAAAGCTCCCGGAGCCGGCTCAGGGCCTCCCGGGGCCCCTCGGAATCAGAGCAGCCAAACCGCCTGAAACGCTGGCGGAAGGTCTCTGGGCTGCAGGGGTCTCCCTGAAGGCCAAGGTCCCGCCCCCAAACATAATTCTCTTCTTCAACCTTCACAATTATAAGTCCTTCTTGTTCTTCTGGAGCATGGTAGGCCAGGCCTGCAGCTTTTCCTGACATTCTGGGCAGAGACTGTCCGAAAATGCTGCCCCAGTTGAGTCAGGGAGGGAATGAAGTCTGTCTAAGAGATTCCTTCTGAATTCTGATTCTTCAGGGGACTCCTGAGATGGACAATGCTAATGTTACACAGGGGAAAAATGTGCTTAGAACAAAAAGGCAGGTTTTCAAAGACCAATTGCCAGAGACTGTAGCACTGTAAAGAAAAGTGACTAAAAGGGAACTTCCATATAAACAATATATTAATAGATGATTCAGGATTTTTTCAAGATAGGAAATAGAAAATTTAAGAATCACAAAAATCAACTCAACCTTTAGAAATAATATTAGGGTCGGGGCACCTGGGTGGCTCAGTCGTTAAGCGTCTGCCTTCGGCTCAGGTCGTGATCCCAGGGTCCTGGGATCAAGCCCCACATCGGGCTCCCTGCTCAGCGGGAAGACTGCTTCTCCCTCTCACACTCCCCCTGCTTGTGTTCCCTCTCTCACTGTCTCTCGCTCTGTCAAATAAATAAATAAAATCTTTAAAAAAAAAAAAAGAAAGAATATTAAGGTCAACATCAGGGATAATAAATAGTGCTTCTGGATCATGGAAAGCAGGAAAGACACTATATAGTATGTTATTACTTCTCAGAATAATAATCACATTTTAGTGAGTACCTACTAGATGCCAACAGTAGCTGGATATTTATAATTTCCCTAATAATTCCAAAGGACAATCATAATTATACCTATTTCCAAATGAGGCTACTGAGATGTGTAAGTTGACCAAAGATACACAGCCTGTAAGCAGCAGAACCAGACTCTGCAACAAGAGTATTGAGCTCTATAATGTCATGGGGTCTCCCTCAAAGGGAATTTGCGCTTAATAAACACCTACTATGAATGAAACCAGAGAGGGAGACAAACCATAAAAGACTCTTAATCTCAGGAAACAAATTGAGGGTTGCTGGAGTGGAGGGGGGTCGGAGAGATAGGGTGGCTGGGTGATGGACATTGGGGAGGGTATGTGCTATGGTGAGCACTGTGAATTGTCTAAGACTGATGAATCACAGACCTGTACCCCTGAAACAAATAATACATTTTATGTTAATTAAAAAAACACCTACTATGGGCCGAGCACTTTACAAATACTATTTTATTGGGGCTTGACAATAATACTATGAGGTAAGTATTATCATCCCCATTTTACTGATGAGGAAATGGAGATTTTTAAAAGTTAATTTACCAGGGCGCCTGGGTGGCTCAGTTGTTAAGCATCTGCCTTCAGCTCAGGTCATGATCCCAGGCTCCTGGGATCGAGCCCCGCATTGGGCTCCCTGCTCAGCAGGAAGCCTTCTTCTCCCTCTCCCTCTGCCACTCCCCCTGCTTGTGTTCCCTCTCTAGCTGTGTCTCTCTGTCAAATAAATAAATAAAATCTTTTTAAAAAATAAAATAAAAAAATAAAAGTTATTTTACCCATGGCCCCAACCTGGTAAATAGCAAACTCAAGACATGAACCTAGGGTTGCCCAATTCTAAAGCACTTGTTTTTTATTACAGAATGGGTTAACCAAGGACCATCTTGGTTGATACTACATATTTTAAATGATGGTGAAAATGTTAGGAAAGTGTCATGGAGAATGGCCAAAGTGAATGTACAAAGAATTCTTGACTTTAAGTCACAGGTTCTTTTTTTTTTTTTTTAAAGATTTTATTTATTTATTTGAGAGAGAGAGAATGAGAAAGAGCACATGAGAGGGGGGAGGGTCAGAGGGAGAAGCAGACTCCCTGCCGAGCAGGGAGCCCGATACGGGACTCGATCCTGGGACTCAAGGATCATGACCTGAGCCGAAGGCAGTCGCTTAGCCAACTGAGCCACCCAGGCGCCCTAAGTCACAGGTTCTAAGACAGTACCAAGAAAAGAGGAATGAATTCCTTCACCCATTATTTCAAAAAATACTTGAGCTATATGCTAGGCAGTTTACTGAACAGGATTCTCAGGATTAAATGCTCTGTCCTCAAAGACTCCCTACAATGGGAAAGTAACAGGTAAACCGGCAAAGGCAGTGTGATAAACCCAAGGATAGAGGGAAGCAAGCAAGGTAGCACAGAGAAGGACAACTAAGACCAGGGAGAGCTGCCTGCCAGGGGGAGCCATGTCAGCAGAGTCTGATAAGAATGAGCCAGGTGAAGGGGCGCCTGGGTGGCTCAGCCGTTAAACATCTGCCTTCAGCTCAGGTCATGATCTCAGGATCCTGGGATCGATCCCCGCATCAGGCTCCCTGCTCCACGGGAGGCCTGCTTCTCCCTCTCCCACTCCCCCTGCTTGTATTCCCTCTCTCGCTGTGTCTCTCTCTGTCAAATAAATAAAATCTTTAAAAAGAATGAGCCAGGTGAAGATGCCAAGTCAGGTCATTCAGGCAAAGACAACAGTGGGTAGGAGACTATGTGGCCCATCGGGGGAGCTGCAGGTGGGTTAGGGAGGCCAGACTAGTGGTTGTCACCTCTGCCTCAGAATCAGCCATGGAGCATGGACCCCACAATAGACTTCCTGAGTCAGAATCTCTGTGGGGGGAGACTTCAGTAAGTGCCCCAAATGCTTCTGATATGAAGCCATGTTTAAAAACAAAACAACAGAAACAGGCCAGAGCCTGCGGCATAGTTCAGGAATAGTGAGAAAGGAGGCACTTACAGAGGGATAGTAGGCCAAGGGTCTGAAAGATTGTACTGCAGAGTTTGGATTTGAGCCCCATAGCCACAGGAATGGCTGGACGGTCTGTCTGCCCACTCAGGAAGGGGTCTGTGGCAACCATTTGGGCGAGGAGGGCCTGAGCTATGGGAGCCAAAGATCAAGATGGGAGATCTGACAGGACTTAGGGACACACTGGATAAGGATTTGGAAGAGGAGTCAAGGACAGGTTTTTGCCCGGTGCTGGTGACTGAAAGGATGGTGGAATCATTTCCTGAGTGATTTATGATAAAGTTAGATCTGAGCTATTTACAAAGCAGCATTTCCTAAACTGTGTTTTTGCCATACACCCCTAAACACTGAGAAACTTGGGGAAATTTTCCTCTTAATTTTTTAGTATTTGAAAAATAATGAATAAATTTCTTTAGTTCTTATTTATGATAATTGGCATTTAAGAAATCCCATAACAAAACATCATTGGATCTATGCATTACTGTGTATATAGCATTTACCAAGCATCACACGGATCACGCATCACATAGGTATGTGTGCTTTACTTAGTGATCACTGGTCTATGTCATGGATCTTGCCCTTTAATTTCAATATGTTTGTGATACTAAATTTTTATTATAAATATCATGCCTCACCAACTTATCTTCCATGGGTATGTGGCTGAAGGGAAGTGTTTCATCATAAAGCATTGTCTCTCTTCCTTCTTCCATCTCCTTCACAGGCCCACCCTCTTCTACATCAGAGTTCCATAGGTTAGCCCTTAAGTCTGGCACTGTCTTCGCTGTCTTCCAGGCCTCTCTACTCTGGACCTCTCATCTGAGCACCAGCCCTTTTTACCCACTGTTCCTTATCCCCATAACGCCTCTTGAATTTCTCAAAAGGACCTCAAACAGCACATCCATGACCAACTGATGATTCTTCCCACTCCAATTCTGCTCCTCTCCCAGTGGTCCCCTCTCGGGAAGGAGGAACATCCATCTGGCTGCACTTCTAGAAACCTGGAAGCATCCCTAACACCTCCTTTCTGTATTTAATGCAAATTAAGTCCTATTGATTTTATTGCCTGTCTCCAGAATCTGCCCCTCCCCATCTCTGCCACCACCATCTTCATCCCAGTAACCGTCCTGTCACACTATACACTAACAGTCTGCTCATACTGTAACCAGAGAGACCTTTTCAAATTGCAAATCTGACCCTGTTCCTCTGACCAGTTTTTTTTTTTAAAGATTTTATTTATTTGACAGAGAAAGACACAGCGAGAGAAGGAACACAAGCAGGGGGAGCGGCAGAGGGAGAGGGAGAAGCAGGCTTTCCCGCTGAGCAGGGAGCCCAATACGGGGCTCGATCCCAGGAGCCTGGGGTGATGACCTGAGCCAAAGGTAGACGCTTAACAACTGAGCCACCCAGGCGCCCCCTCTGACCAGTTTTTAAAAAGCAAATGCAGGGGAAAAAAAATCAAAAGTCCTTAGCTAATCTCTTTGGTCGTACTTATCTCGTTTTACAGATGCCTGAGCTGCGCCCCAGCCTGAGTCAGAAACTCAGTTTTATATTTGTAAAACATTCTGCAAGTGATTCTGATGTGCAGGCAGGGTTGGGTCGGTCAAGGAGTCGTAAGAGAATTATGTTCCTTTCTCTCAGAGCACCGCTCTCATTGTCAGTTTATATACTTTGGTGGAACTATTGGGTTAATACCTATCTTCTCCATGATTCAACTGTAAGATACATCAACATTTTTGCTCACCATTTTCTATCACCCAATCCAATGCACAGCACAGAGTAGGTGCCATATATACATGAATGAATACCACTATAGTGGCGGCGGGGGTGGGGGTGGGGAAGAGTTTCAAAGAGGCAGTGGTCAACACTATCAAATGCCTAATAAGGACTGAAAGATGTTTCCATGGCACTTCTCATACAGCAGAAAGATGACTTAGCTCACAGGAGGAACACCAGCTTTGGAGTCAAGTGCCCCAACAGTTTGGAATCATAGTGCAGCTTCTTACTATCTTAATAGCTGTGTGACAGTAGTCACCGACCAAACCCAAGATTCCATTTCCTCTCCTAAAAATGGAGTTAATAACACTTTCATTGCACTGTTATTAAAGGAATTGGAAGTAATAAGACATCTGGAGTAGTGCTTAGTATGTTAAGCATATCTTTTTATCCTGGTGTTTTGACATCTGGGCCTTGCTTACACTGGAGGGACTGTCCTTCCCAGGGCTAGCAGATTCCTAGAGATAATAAACTCACCTACAAGTGTGCTTTTCAAATGCAAACTACCCAACCCAGAGCCCACACCGCACCACCTCCTGCCCCGGACTTTCACATCCAGGGCCACCATTCCCCTGCCCTAATCACCCAGGGCCAGATGCCAGAAAATTAGGGACAAGACAGAGAGCTTATCTGTGCCTCAGAGCCCACTGAAACTATTTAAACTAGCCAATCCTAAGCCTGTTGACCCTGCCTCACCCAGTCCTTCCCACAGAAACCCGATAAAGACTCCTGCCCACTTTCCCCTCACCTGGCCTCCTGACTGATCCTGTGATTTTGCCATGTGAACACGTGGGGCATGGCATGCCTGCTCCTCTTGGAAACTATGAATAACAAACTTCTTTTTTTTTTTTTTTTTTAAGATTTTATTTATTTATTTGCGAGAGAGAATGAGAGACAGAGAGCATGAGAGGGAGGAGGGTCAGAGGGAGAAGCAGACTCCCCGCTGAGCAGGGAGCCCGATGCGGGACTCGATCCCGGGACTCCAGGACCATGACCTGAGCCGAAGGCAGTCGCTTAACCGACTGAGCCACCCAGGCGCCCAACAAACTTCTTTTGAATGGCGATCATCTCCTATCTGTTGGCCTCATCAAATCTAACTAATAATAAAACTCGTATTTTAAAACACTTGGCCCAGAACAGGTTCTCAATGCATGGTAGATAATGGTGCAAGGGAAAGGCAAATTCCACATCACAAGGCATGGATTATAGAATAGGCTTTATTGGGGAAACTTACAGCTAGGGATCAGTAACATGAGCACAGGTCCTGCGATTCCTCCATTATCCCACAAAAGGGAATTCTGGAGAGAAGTGCTGCTGTTTCAGGGAAGAGCTCCATCTACCTTCTTAGAGCATAAATGTGAGAAAGCAGCCTTGTCAGTGGGGGCCATAGGTCGACTGCTTGGGACCAGAATTGTGTTTGCAAGTGTCAGTGTTTAGAGTTGTCTAGGGAACCCATGGTGGGGGGGGGGGGGCGCTGGAAGAACTGAGCTTAGATATGGCCCTGCCCTCTGGGAGGTGAGAGCCTGGTCCCAGCTAGCTCTTAGTCCAAGCAACCCAAGAACCTCCGGGGGCACTTTTGGACAAAACTGCTTCCTTCAGTATAGCTGTTATTATAATGTATCTGCATTGTTTGCTTACTTAATTGTAACAGAAAGCTCTAATTGAGCTTTTATTGTACAATGAGCATGGTCTACCTGTTCATTTCATCTTCGCAGCACTTTATGGTCTAGGTTCTACTGTTTTACTGAACAGAAACTGAGAAGTTACATAATTTGTCTCAGGTCCCATGGTTTGGAAGTGATGTAGTCTGGACTGTTTTCAAACAAAATGGTCTGACTCCAGAGTCCATGCTCTTAGATAAGTACTCTGCTGAAATGCCTTCCCCACCAAACCAATGGCCCTTTCGAGGTCCTGTGTTTTTCCACGCATTTCCTTAACGATATTTATAGAATGCCTGCTTTATGCAGGCACTGAGCAAAGAGTTATAAACAAGACAGTGTCCTTGCCATTACATAACTTAAAATTTTAGTAGGGAGGCAGAGGTTAAACAGAAAGGCCACAGAATTACCTTAGTCTTGATAAGAACTACAAAGGGGAAAGTAGAAAGGGCTACGAGGGTCGAACCTAGACCGGGGAAGTCAAGACGAACAGCTGAGACGTGACTCAAGAGCGAGCTCTGGCCGCATAAGAAGTGGGAGGAAAGGTCGCCTCAGTTTATCGCCGACTCCTCAGCCTGCGGCCTGGCACACAGGAGGCGCCCGGTAAGCGCTTGCGAAGTCAAAGGACGCTAGGGCGGTGGATGAGCAGGCAAACAGACAGATGCAGGAAGAAATGGACCGACTGCCGGACGGAAGCGTCGAGGAGGGGCGGCCCCCTAGTACAGCCGCAGGCTCTGCCTGTGGCAGGGACAGGCTGAGACAAAGCGGCGGGGAGGGCTGAGGCCCGACGGGGGCGGTTTGGGAAGCACCGGGGCCGCGCTGCCGGATCGCCTCACTCACCCTTCGCTCGGCTGGCTGCCGCACCGACCCCAGGGAGGGAGCAGAACGGCCTCCGGCCGAGCGCGCCGGAAGTGCGGGCGGGCGCGCCCCTCTAGGAAGCCCGGAGGACTGCAGCTCTGTGGCCGGCGCGGGGCGCAGGGGCTTGGGAGGAGGGGTGCGAAGCTGGGGGCAGTGTGTCTCCGGGTGGGACTTGGTGGGGACAGCCCCGATTCAAAATGGTTGACAGGCGACGAAAGGAGGAAAAAAGAAATATATAGAGAGCGCGCGTCTGGTGTAACCCCAAGGAGATAAAAATAGAACTCTCCCTCTGTAAATTTGGGGAAGAGGAGGACAAGACCACATTCGTACGCCACAACACGCTGTCTTTAGTGACAGTTCTAGAAGCTAACGGGAGGAGTGCGTGGAGGTTGAGGGAAGGGCCCAGCCCAGGCTCGGCGAGAGTGCAAGGCGAAGGATCGACCCTGCCGTCGTGGGCAAGGGCAAGGAGGGCCGAAACCGAGCGGGAAAGACTCAGAATAATTTTCTCTCGTAGAAGGAGCTACTCAAGCTGAGTCTTGCCCAACGACTAAAATGATGACTTAGAGGAGTGGCCTGAGGGAGAGCACAGCAATGGGAAGTTCAGGGCATGCTGAGGAATTAGCCCAGCATCTTCGTTGGCTGGAACCTAGGCTGAGGGATGCGGTGGGGTCAGGTTTGGAGTTTCAAACGCCAGGATCGGGGAATTAGAAATGCCTTTAGTAATCAGTGCAGGCCATTTACATGTGACATGGCAAGAACTGTACTTCGGGGCGGTGTCCGACATACTGTGTAGAGTGGATTAAAGGGCAAAACAGATAAGGAAAAGAGAACAGACGTTTAGAAACGTGAACTTAGCAGGATTTGGTCATATCTGAAAATATGATTGAAGATGGAGAAGGGCATGACATCACCAAGGGAGATCTTATGGAAAATAAACAGGAAATTATAAAATACCAATGTTTGTGGGTGGGAAGAGCAAGAACAGATAGAGAAGAGAAGCTTCTTGGAGGAGGAAAGCCCAGATGGTTCAAACATCATAAAAGTCAAGAGTGTATCAGGAGAGAGAACAGGTGACCAGCAGATGGGGCAGAGAACTGGAAAAGGCAAGAGCTAAGGTGATGCTGGAATTAAGGGGAGGGGTAGACGAAGAGCTTGAGAGATGTTACCTGTGGAATGTACTTGTAAGATAAGACACTTAAAACAGGTGATAATTCCTTCTGAGAAATGCGATCCTGCAAGAAGAAAAAAGAAAGAACACTTGGTTGGACTAGGCAACAGGATTGAAAGGTGTTAGCTTTTTTAAAGATACTAGACACCTAATTATATTTGTAGGAAAAAAAGGTAAAATGTGAGTAGGAAGAAAAACTGAAGATAGAAGGAAAGAGGAATACATAGCTGATGGGGAGAGAATGAGACCAGATAGGCAGGTGGAGTTGTCTCAGAAAATAAAATGAAGCATTATAATAAAAAACGGTGCATTTTGGTCTGTGTTTTGATGCTGTGAATGCAGAACAGCCAAATAGTATTGGTTAGCAATGCTGATTTTACAAGTAAATAAATGCACATACTATTTTTTGAATTTTCACAAACTGAACATACTCATGTTACTAGCACCCAGATGAAGAAACAACATTATCCCTCTTCAGAAGTCCCCTTTGTGCTCCCTTAAGTCACCACCCTCCTCTAGCCCTGAAAGATAGCCACTACACTGAACTTTGAACATGATAGGTTGGTCTTGCCTCTTTTTGTACTGTATATAAATGGAATTCAATATGTACTCTTTTAAGTCAGGCTGAATTCAACATCGTGAAATCTGTTCATACAATGTACATTTTCATTTCTTTTTTTTTTTAAGATTTTATTTATTTGACAGAGAGAGAGAGTGAGAGCAGGAACACAAGCAGGGGGAGTCGGAGAGGGAGAAGAAGGCTTCCTGCGGAGCAGGGAGCCCTATGCGGGGCTCGATTCCAGGACCCTGGGATCATGACCTGAGCTGAAGGCAGACACTTAATGACTGAGCCACCCAGGCACCCCTACATTTTCATTTCTAATAATGTTACATTGTATGATTATACCAATATTCATTCATTCTATTATTGATAAACATTATTGAAAGATATTTGAATCTCTAACCACATTCATTTATTTTTGGATATTAAACCAACTTACTAGGATAAATCCTACTGAGTCGTGGTATGTAATCCTTTTTTATATATCAAGTTAATTTTTTAAAATATTTTATTTATTGGGCGCCTGCGTGGCTCAGTTGGTTAAGCAACTGCCTCCAACTCAGGTCATGATCCTGGAGTCCCAGGATCGAGTCCCACATCAGGCTCCCTGCTCAGTGGGGAGTCTGCTTCTTCCTCTAACCCTCCCCCCTCTCATGCTCTCTCTCTCTCATTCTCTCTCTCAAATAAATAAATAAAATCTTTAAAAAATATTTTTTATTTATTTATTTGAGATAGAGAGAGCCTGTGCACAAGCAGTGGGGAGGGGCAAAGGGAGAAGGAGAAGCCAGCTTGCTCCCAGGACCCTGAGATCCTGACCTGAGCCAAAAGCAGACGCTTAACCGACTGAGCCACCCAGGCGCCCCTATATTAATGAAGTTAATTTGCTAATATTTTATTGAGGACTTTTGTGTCTGTATTGTTAGAGATATTGGTCTGTAGCTTTCTTTTCCTGTGATGTCTTTGTCTGTTTTTTTTTTTTTTTTTAAGATTTTATTTATTCATTTGAGACAGAGAGATACAGAGGGAGAGAGAGAGAGAGAGCATGAGCAGGAGAGAGGCAGAGGGAGAGGGAGAAGCAGGCTCCCAGCTGAGCCAGGAGCCAGATGTGGGGCTCGATCCCAGGACTCTGGGATCATGACCTGAGCCGAAGGCAGACGCTCAGCCATCTGAGCCACCTTGTCTGCTTTGGTATCAAAGTAATTACTGGCCCTTCTATTTTCTGGGAGAGATTGTGAAAGACTGGTATTCTTTAACTGTTCGAAAGAATTTACTAGTGAAGCCATCTGGGCCTGTGCTTTTCTTTGTTAGAAAATTTTTAGTTACTAATTCAACTTCTTTACTTTTCACACATTTATTCACATTTTCTATTTTTTTTCAGTCCCTTTTTTTTTAAAGATTTTATTTATTTATTTATTTATTTATTTATTTATTTATTTATTTATCAGGGATAGAGAGAGAGCACGAGCAGGGGGAGCGGCAGGTAGAGGGAGAAGCAGGCTCCCCACTGAGCAAGGAGCCCAAGGCAGGACTGGATCCCAGGACCCTGGGATCATGACCTGAGCCGGAGGCAGATAGTTAACCAACTGAGCCACCCAGGCATCCCTCAGTCACTTTTAGTAATTTGTATATTTCAAGTAATTTGTCTATGACACTTATGTTGTATAATATGTTGGCATGAAGTTATTCATAGGATTCCCTTATATTCTTTTAAATTATTATAGCGTTGGTAGTGATGTCCCCTCTTCTCTGCTTTTGTTAATCTCTCTCTTTTTTTCTTGGTCAGCCTATTAAAGGTTTGTCAATTTTTGTTCATATTTTCAAAGAACAAAATTTTGGTTTCATTGATATTTCTTTATTGTTTACCTGTTTTCTATTTCATTCATTACTATTCTAATCATTATTACTCCTTTCCTTCTGCTTTTTTGTTGTTAAGTTTGCTGCCCATTTTCAGGCTTCTTAAGGTGGAAACTTAGGTTATTGATAAGAGATTTTCTTCTTAGATAGACATTTTGAAGCTATAAAATTTCCTCTAAGCACTGCTTTGGTTGCATCCCATAAAATTGTGTATGTTGCATTTCGTTTTCATTCAGTTTAAAATATTTTCTAATTTCCTTTGTGATTTCTTCTTTGAACCCAAAGTTATTTAGATATGGTCTGTTTAACTTCCAAATATTTGTAGAGTTCCCAAATTATTACTCTGTGGCTCAGTATGTCCCTTGGGCCAATGGAAGCTCCATCAGCCCCTCTCAGCTAAGGTGGCCCTGGTCTCTCAGCCCTTAAGTGGACCCGCCTACTGGGCTCCCCATTTTCTGCATGCAGAACCCTAGAAATCTGGCAAGCTTCCTTCATTTTGTCCCATTTTGTCCTGCCTCTGTCCAATTCAGTCCAAGCTGGTAGTGTTTCTGGTGATACAACAACCATGTTGGTTGTCTGTGGATATCAAGGGGATCCACACAATTATATGCAGGGGTTCTTCTCAGATCCTTCCTGGATCACCCATTTCTACTTCTGGTTTCTGCTGAGCAGTTGGTTGGATGCATGAATCACACACCCAATCTCTTCACCAAAAGGTTGTCCAGCTACATTCATGGCCTTGTCTCCAGAGCAAGGATAGGCTGAGAAATTTTCCAAATTATCAAGTACTGATTCCTTTCGCTTAATAGTTCCTCCCTCAATCTCTTTCCTCCATATTTTACTACAATCTCTTTCCTCCATATTTTACTACAGTCAGCAAGGAAAAACCAGGCCACATTTTTCAAACTTCGCTTGGAAAGCTCCTCAGCTAAATATCCAACTTCATCACTTACAAATTCTTTTTCCACCCAATAGCAGAACATGATTCAGCCAAGTTTCTGCTACTTTACAAGTATCGCCTTTTCTCCAGCTTCCAATAATGTTTTCTTCATTTCTGTCTGATACCTCACCAGTATATTTAATGCTCATTATTCCTAGCAAAATTCTGTTCATGACAATATATGTATTCTTTAAGATGACAGAAAAGGTTTCTACTGTCCTTTTTGCTTCCTTCCAAGCCCTTGCCAGAGTCAACTTTAACATCCATATTTCTACCAACAATCTCTTCAAGGCAACCTAGGTATTTTCTATCATGAGCCTCAAAACCCTTCCAAATTCTAGTCATTACTCAACTCCAAAGCCACATCAGCACTTTTAGGTATTTGTTAAAGTAGCACCTCACTTCTGGTACCACAGAGTGGCTTAATACAACAGAAATGTATTCTCTCACAGTTTGGAGGTTACAAATCCAAAATCAAGGTGCTGGCAGAACCGTGCTTTCTGAAGGCTCTGAGGTTCATGCCTGTCTCCTAACTTCCGGTAATTGCTGGCAATCCTTGGTGTTCTTTGCCTTGGAGATGCATCACTTTAATGACTGCCTCCACATTCATATGGTGTCCTCTCCTCTCTGTGAGTCTCCTTTGTGTCTGAATTGACCTCTTCTTATAAAGACACCAGTTGTTGGGTTAGGGCCCATCTTAATCCAGCATGATCTCATTATAACTTGATCACATCTGCAAAGATCCTATTTCCAAATAAAGTCACATTCACAGGTACCACAGGTTAGGACTTGAACATATCTTTTGGGAGGAACACAGTTCAACCCACAACAATGTGTTAAGTACAGACCAAGAGTTGTTTAAACTGCTGTGACTTGGTTTTGAAGTTGAAGACTTTTCAAAATGATGCCAATGACCTCACTGACTGAAAATAAAAGAAATGATCTGATTTGAATTCAACTCTAGAGGTCTTGGAGAATTCTGGTGTTTGGGATACAAGCCTATTCATCTCTGTCAAAGTGAACCTTAGGAAATGATAATATTGGCCATTATTTTGCCTTCTGAATCTCAGTTTTCAGCACTTGTTCTGTTTTGTTTTGCTTTGTTTTAAGATTTTATTTATTTATTTATTTGAGAAAGAATAAGCATGAGCTAGAGAGAGAGAGAGAGAGAGAACACAAGCGGGGAGGAGGGGCAGAGGGAGAGGCAGACTCCCTGCTGAGCAGATCCCAGGATCATGACCTAAGATGAAGGCAGCAGCTTAATGGACTGAGCCACCCAGGAGCCCCAGCACTTGTTCTGTTTTTAAAAAGTCACAGTCAATTGGACATGCATATTAATATATCAAAGATGTTGGATTGTCCATAATTTAGATGTACCATTCAAAATCAAACAGCAGCAGCCTACGTGTTAATATTTCTTTGATCAAAAAGGAATGTTAAATTTTTCATTTGGCTTCACAATTTGGATTTATTTCCCTTTTTCACCTGGACCTGGGGATTGATTTTTAGATTGAAATTCATTCTTTGTGAAGACTGATTATATAGTCTAACTATCAAGGGAAATTAATTTCTAATACAATATAATACATGATAAGCAATACAGGATAAGCAGTCGGTCTTTATGTCCAACTTTCTGAGGAAGAGGTCTGTAGTTTTTATCATATTCTCAAAGTAGTTATATTACCCAAAAAAGATTAAGAACCACTGCTGTAGAATCTATGCCTAAATCAGACATATGTTAGTTTGGCCTAGTTTCCCCCAAAAGGAAATGGAATAGGAAATGGAAATCAGGTAGAATATTGGTGGGTGACCTATCAGTTTCATTCTTGAGACTCTCATATCATTTCCCATGCCTGTATTATCACTCCTGATCTCTCTGGAGACCTTTGAATTCCTTTTACCTTACTGAGAGGAACTTCTCCAGTGTCAGCTGGTGTGAGCCACAGTTCGGTCTAGGGTTGTTTTGGTCGACTGATCAAACTGTTAGATTCCAAGCTGGCTTCTCAGGCTCAGAATGCAATATCTTTGGTAAGACTCCACAAAGCAACAAATCTAGCACAATCTGAAAAAAAGTTTGATTTCCTTGGTGAAATACTCAGAAAATCTATATTCACATCATCACTTCCAGGTAAAAAGTTAACAAAACCCTCACCTTTGGGGCACCTGGGTGGCTCAGTCGTTAAGCATCTGCCTTCAGCTCAGGTCCTGATCCCAGGGTCCTGGGATCGAGCCCCGCATCGGGCTCCCTGCTCCGCGGGAAGCCTGCTTCCTCTCCCGCTCCCCCTGCTTGTGTTCCCTCTCTCGCTGTGTCTCTCTCTGTCAAATAAATAAATAAAATCTTTAAAAAAAAAAAAAAAAACCTTCACCTTTGTATGTAAGTATTAACCTTTGATTAAATTTCTCATTCTCTTTTACTGAACACCTGTTTAAAGTAGTATATTGGGGTGCCTGGGTGGCTCAGTTTGTTAAGCAGCTGCCTTCGGCTCAGGTCATGATCCCAGGGTCCTGGGATCGAGTCCCACATCCGGCTCCCTGCTCAGCGGGGGGTCTGCTTCCCCCTCTGCCCTCTTCCCTCTCGTGCTCTCTGTCTCTCATTCTCTCTCTCTCTCTCTCAAATAAATAAATAAAATCTTAAAAAATATATATATATATATATATATGGAGACAAATGAAAATGAAAACACAACAGCCCCCAAATCTTTGGGATGCAGCACAAGCTGTTCTAAGAGGGAGGTTTATAGCAATACAGGCCTACTTCAAGAAGCAAGAATCTCAGATAAACCAACTTACACCTAAAGGAACTAGAAAAATAACAAAACTCAAAACCAGTAGAAGGAAGGAAATTAATAAAGACAAGATCAGAAATAAACAAAATAGAAACTAAACAGTTTGCTTGCCAGTACATTCCTCATGTGGCTAAAAGATCAGGATGAGAAGAAGGACCTGAAATTTGGGGCAGCAGGGTGCACATTGGAATAGGAAAGGATATTGTTATGTCCTTGGAAATTTCTTAGGAAGTACAGGGGGAGTTAGAAGAATAATTGAGACATATGAGATGTTGGGAAGAGGTACAGGTTTAAAAAAGTGGTGATTGGCTGAAATGATGGTTGAGGTAGAAGTAGAGGGCTTTCTGTCCCAGCCCAAGACCCTCTTATGATGTATGAAATCTTAGGGATGTATGAGTGAGACTCTGATATTCCTGTAAAGAACTTGTTTGGGTCCAGCCTCCCAAGAATGGGGTGCAGATACTTTAGAACAAAAACAAAAACAAAACAGCTTCACTGTGATACAAGAGACATTCAATAATAAGCAAATATTTAGAGTATATAATTTAATAAGTTTTGTCATATGTATATAGTTGTGAAACCATCACCACAATCAAAATAATGAACGTATCAGCAAACTCAGAAGTTTTCTTCTACCCTTTGTATCTCCTCCCTCTCTTCTCACAGCTCCCAACCACTGTTCTGCTTTGTGTTACTGTAGATTAGTTTGCATGTTTCAGAGAATTATTTAAATAGAATCATACAGAATGCACTCTTTTTTTGGTCAGACTTTTTTCACTAAGTATTATTATTTTGAGATTTATCTGTATCACTGTTGCTGAATAATATTCCATTAGCTATATATGTATCACAATTTGTTTATCCACTCATGAGTTGATGGGAATTTGGGTTATTTCCAGTTTTTTACTATTACAAATAAAGCTGCTATGAACATTGTTGTCTAAGACTTTATACGGACATGTACTTTTTTCTCTTTCATGGTAGTTGTATGTTTAACATTTTGAGAAACTGCTACACTGTTAGAGTGGCTGAAACATTTTGCATCCCCACCGGCAATGTATGAGAATGCCATAGTTGATATACTATTTTTTTTTTAAGATTTTATTTATTTATTTGACACAGAGAGAGTGAGAGAGAGCACAAGCAGGGGAAGCGGCAGGCAGGCAGAGGGAGAGGGAGAAGCAGGCTCCCCGCTGAGCAAGGAGCCCGATGCGGGGCTCGATCCCAGGACCCTGGGATCATGACCTTGCTTAACCAACTGAGCCACCCAGGCGCCCTATATATATATTTTTTAATTTCCTCTTAAGCAAGCTGTTGAGAAACAGATCCCCTGTGGCCTTCCTTGATGGCAAAGTACATCAAAATCCAGCTTCCCAGCAACTCAGGAATTAATTGCCGAGGATTATTTATTTGTAGGGCATTGTAGGGCAACGGTTCTCAAAGTGTGGTCCCAGAACCAACAGCAGCAGTACCTGTGAACCTGAGCTCCCCCCCAGACCTACTGAGTGGTAAATTCTAGGGGTGGGGCCCCCCAAAAAGTATTTTAACAAGGCGCCCAGGTGATTTGGAGGCACAACACTGTTCTGGGAAAAAAACCAGAGAGGACAAGGAAGAAAGTTAGAACGGAAGCACACCAGCGAATATGAAGAGGAGGGGAGTGGGGATTTAAAGGGAGAGAGATAATAAAGAACTCATTACGTAGTCAGAAAACCTACCCTGCCCCAAAGAGCTTTCCCGAAAGATGTTTCGACATTCACGTCAAGAACCGGCAAATAGGGCAGCAGGGGACCTGTCGCTGGCTGACCAGGTCGCTCGCTACAGCTGGGCTGGGACAGCTAGGCGGAGGTTCAGGGGTTAAATCTCCGCAACCCTCTCCCCAACCCGCCGCGACCGCCGCCGCCGCCCCCTCGCGCCTGCGCCCGGCCGCCCCCTTGCCATAGAGCTGAGCAATCCTCCCAGCTTCCTAGAGCGGACGCGGGGATGGCGGTTCCGCAGCTTGTGAGGTTTGACTGCGACCCGGAGGACACGTCGAGGTATGGGTGATATCAGGTCACGGGAGCCCGGGGAACTCGGGTGATCTCGCCTTCTGAGCTGCCTTGCGGCGCCGCCAGGGAACCCTGTGGGGTTTCTTGAGTCCATGGAGAGTCCCGGTCGCCGGGGTCGCCCCCAGGCGCTGCTCCTGGGGACGGTGGGTCTTTGGCCTAGCGTGCTTTGGGTACCCGGTCGGCGCCTGCGCGGCCTCGGTTTCAACTGAATGGACACCAAAAACTTTGGGGGCATGTGGAATCGGGAAGGGGGATGCATCGACGCAGATTAGCAGAGCGTGCCGGCAAAGAGCAGCCTGAATGTGCGAGTGCTGGAAGAAGGGAAGGAGGGAAAGAAAGATAATGATGGTGACCAGTAGTGTCGGTTTGGTGTAGGAAAGGCAGCGAATACAGCGTTAACCGCTGAAACAAAATCTTATAATGCCCTTCCCTGCCTTATCATCCCAGTTACGTCCTTATTTCGGTAGCATTTACCCCCAATTATGTTTGAAGGTCTCTAGCCTTGGAATGGAGAATACATGCCCAAAGGGGTTAATGTCTGATCCTCATCACGAGGGAGGAAGCTTAATAAATTCTGTGAGAAAACTACTTGGAAATTAAATGAGATTTTGTTTTCTCCTCCACTTCTTTTATTATCTAGAGGATGTTTCTGGTGGTCTAGTCTCAGAAATTATATCTCCAGTCTCCACAATGATTCCCTTCCAAGCCCAGTGGTGCCCCGTTGCCTCCAGGTTTCAGACTCCTACGTGGACAAGAAAAGCTTACTAAGGAAATGGTAATTCTCCAGTTGCTCCCCGAGGTGCCAAGTGTCCAGTTACAGCCCATGGAGATCCACTTCAATTATGAATCTCAAGAACACCACCTTCTGTCAGGTGAGAAGCAGTGTATTGTATCTTTCTTAGGGGGTACAAGTGGTGGGGAGGGTTGTTACTGGTGCTCTGTTAGTGTCTTCGCGTGCTATTGGTATTCTTCGTTGCCTACCCCTCACTGTGTTAGACAGTACCATCTCTTGAGTGTGCAAGCAGAGTCACATAGCTTTATTGTGAATTCTGGCAATCAAAATCTCATGGAGTTCCCTTCTCTCCTTAAGGACCCATTTATCCATTTTTTCTCGTTATAATCACCTTATCACCAGTCTGTCAGTATTTGATATTTTCCCTTTAAAATCTTTTCAAGTCATCTTTTTTCAAGTACTGTAGAGGCATAGTTAAAAGTTTAGGAGTCTGACACTGTGGATTCAAATACTAGCTTTGTCATGTACTAGCTTCAGTAAATTACTTGTGTTTTGTTTTTTTAACGATTCTGTGACCTTATTTTATAAGTATATAATAACTCATACCTTGGAGGTTATTTTGAGGATTGTGTCTATTACTCCATAATAAAGGACCCCAAAATTTAGTGACATAAAACATCAGACATTTGTATTTTTTTTATTTTTTATTTTTTAAAGATTTTATTTATTTATTTGACAGAGAGAGACACAGCGAGAGAGGGAACATAAGCAGAGGGAGAGGGAGAAGCAGGCTTCCCGCTGAGCAGGGAGCCCGATGTGGGGCTCAGATCCCAGGACTCTGGGATCATGACCTGAGCCGAAGCCAGGCGCTTAATGACTGAGCCACCCAGGCGCCCAACATCAGACATGTTTAAACCACGTTATTTTCTTATGGTTCTGTAGGTCCTCAATTTGGACTGGGTTCTGCTGGCAGTTTTTCTCTTGGTTTTATCTGGGATCACTCATGCAGTCATCTAGTGGCTCAACCAGGGCCAGGGTCTGAGTATCAGTCATATATGTCTGGCTGTTGGTGCTGGTTATGGCTTGGGTCACCCATCTGTAGCAGTCCAGCCCAGACTTTTTCACAGGGCAGCCAGTTTCCCATACAGAGAGAGGGCAAGCCTTGGGAAGCATAAGCACTTTTCTAACCTATGTTTGTGTTATATTGACCAAAACAAATCAACATGACCAGTTCCAGAGTCATTGTGGAAGAGAACTACACAAGGATATAGGTATTAGGAGATAGGATTCACTGGGCTCCATTACTACTATAACAACACCACGAGTACTAATGATATTCCAGTATATAAAGCTCTGCACGCAGACTAGGCTGTTAGTTAGTTCTTTATAAATGGTAGCCACTGTTATTTTTAGTAAGATAATTTTATTTTTTTGAGATTTTATTTATTTATTTGACAGAGAGAGACAGCGAGAGAGGGAACACAAGCAGGGGGAGTGGCAGAGGGAGAAGCAGGCTTCCTGCTGAACAGGGAGCCCGATGCGGGGCTGGATCCCAGGACCCTGGGATCATGACCTGAGCTGAAGGCAGACGCCTAATGACTGAGCCACCCAGGTGCCCCTAGTAAGATAATTTTAATCCCACCCTTGTTCAGGTGTTCGCAGGGTCTCATTTCCACATCATATTTTGCTGTTTTCTGATTTTGGTCCTCTCATTTGCTGCTATTTTGCCTGTGAAATTCACCTTCTATTGTCATTTTCTTTTACTCTAGATCTTCTGCCTCTTTATAGCTTTGAAGTATCTTTATTTCATTTTGTTTCTGTGTTCTGTATTTAGAACTTGTGTTTGCTTAAGAATCTATTCTAAGGCATCTAGCTCTCATTTCTCCTGAGAATTACTGTAGAATTGGGTCTCCTTCTTGCAGTTTTATATAAATTAATATGCATATTGCATGTGTTTGTGTCTCTTAGAGTGTGTGTAAAAGAACATTTTGTGGGGCGCCTGGGTGGCTCAGTCGTTAAGCATCTACCTTCGGCTCAGGTCATGATCGCAGGGTCCTGGGATCGAGCCCTGCATCAGGCTCCCTGCTCAGCGGAGAGCCTGCTTCTCCCTCTCCCGCTCGCCCTGCTTGTGTTCCCTCTCTTGCTGTGTCTCTGTCAAATAAATAAATAAAATCTTTAAAAAAAAAAAACAACATTTTGTTACTGTAGAGTAATCTAATTATACTAAAGTACATATATAAAATATAGAAAGACACAAAATGGGAATTTAAATAACCTACAACTCCACCATCTAGAGATAGTCACTAACATTAATGTATCCTTCAAATAATTTAATCAACTATTCAATGCTTATTGTTGATACATGTTTATTAGTTAATCAGATTATAGCTTATTAATTATTGCTGACCATATAATATGGTTAGTTATTGAAGGGTTGCTCTGTGCTAGGCACTGTTCTAAGTGCTGGGCATATAGCAGTGAACTGAACAGATAAGCCTTTGCCCTTAAGGAGCTTACATTCTGGTGGGGGAAACAGGAAATAAGTAAGTATATGGTAGAGCATCAGATAGTGATAATCATTACGAAGAAAATAAACCAGGATGTATCAGTCAGGACTCTAGCAGGAAACAGATGGTTCATTCAAATTGGGTAATTCAAGGTTTCATGAAGAAGATGGGCAGGGTTACAGAAATTAATAAGGGATAGAGTACAGCTTTGGGACAAAAAAAAATGATAAACAGTTATTACCTTTAGGCCTAATGTTACAAAGGGAGAGACTGATGACCAGCTCATGGAGAGTATAGCTGTAGGGTAGAGCTGCCCAGTTGGAGCCATGGCCTTTGCTAAAAGAAACAATTACTTCCAACTCCTGGCCCAGCAGGAAAGGAGTCAGGATGTAGAGTGAAGAACTCATCCCGGTTTCCCTGGGATTTAGCACTGAAAGTCCCATATCCCAAGAACCCCGTCTGTTTTGGACAAACCAGGATAGTTGGTCACTCTACAGTTCTCCTCCTTCTTTGGGCCAAATCTAATTGCAAGCAGAGGACAGAGAGTCCCAAGTGCTGCAGTCCAAAAACTAGTATCAACCTCTTGGAGCACAGAGCAACATGAACAGTAGATCTAGAGGGGCAAAAGGAGAATATCCCATTACAGTCCACCTCTTTTAACCTATACTACTTACTTTTGTCCTTTGTTTGGGTTATCATGTTCCCAACACATATCTTTTTCTTAAGCTCTTTTTTTTTTTAAAGATTTATTTATTTATTTGAGAGGGCGAGAATGAGAGAGAGAGAGAGCACATGAGAGGGGGGAGGGTCAGAGGGAGAAGCAGGCTCCTCGCCGAGCAGGGAGCCCGATGCAGGACTCGATCCAGGGACTCCAGGATCATGACCTGAGCCGAAGGCAGTCGCTCAACCAACTGAGCCACCCAGGCGCCCCTTCTTTTTTTTTATTATTATTATTTTAAAGATTTTTATTTATTTATTTACTTAACAGAGATAGAGAGAGAGCACAAGTAGGCAGAGCGGCAGACAGAGGGAGAAGGAGAAGCAGGCTCTCCGCTGAGCAGGGAGCCTGATGCGGGGCTCGATCCCAGGACCCTGGGATCATGACCCTAGCTGAAGGCAGCCGCTTAACCGACTGAGCCACTCAGGCGCCCCCCCCCAGGCGCCCCTTCTTAAGCTCTTAAGCTACCATATCTTTGCAGGTTGACTTGTAATTAAATTCTACTCCCACCTGAAACATGAAACTTCACTGCTACTGGTGCTCTTCATATAAGGTAGTGAGATAAAGGGGGGAAAGGCATAATTAACTTAAAATCACTGCTACAGTTTTTGCTATTCACAAAGCCAAAACTGATAATCATAACTATCTTCTTCCATCACCCATTCCATATTGCCTCTACCCTCTGCCAGAATCTCAGTGGCAGAGTTCTTTGCTTAGTTTAGTAACATAAACCTTTTTTCCTGGACGATCTGAGTCCTTGATGATCTTGTCTCTTCCATGTTATTTCAGCGTACCATTGACTGGGCCTTTAGACATGAGAGAACTAGGAAGCACCTGCATTGAATCGTCTGAGTTCTACACCTACTGTTCTTTGCCTTTATTATGTAGCAGCGGCCAATTCCCCAGTAGCAGTTGGTATCAGTCATCCTAGCCAGTAGAGCAACCCTTTCTCTGCCTGTTAGTGCAGCAGCTTGAGGAACCCAAAATGGCCAGGAGACAGTCTCAGCTTCGGATTTGACAAAATCACGACTTTGGTAGAAGTATTTCTTCTTTGAGAACCACAACCCCAAACCCACTAAGCCCAAGATTATGGGGATAGGAATTAAAAATAATATAGGGGCACCTGGGTGGCTCAGTTGGTTAAGCATCCGACTCTTGATTTCAGCTCAGGTTATGATATCAGGGTCGTGGGGTTGAGCCCCGGGTCAGACTCCCTGCTCAGTGGAGAGTCCGCTTGAGATTCTTTCCCTCTCCCTCTGCCGCCACCCACGTGTGCACACACGCTCATGTGCTCTCTCTCTCTCTCAAATAAATCTTTAAGAATATAATATAACATAATCCATAATATAAATGGATTATTAGTTATATAGTAAAAAGAGACATTATTACTACTCCTCTACCATTGACTCCTATACTCATGTATTCTGGCCATAGAGAAGACAACACTGTTTATTGTCCTCTGGTTTAAGGCATATATTGCATCTTGTAGGACAGCACCCCAAACTTAGGGTGTTGTTGCCTGGCTGGTACTGTAACTGGGCCTTCGGTAAATCATTCCACTATTATTGAAATCCACTTACTTCTGGATGATGGGACATGTGATAAGACCCGTGAATTACATGTGTGTGAGCTTATTGCTGTACTTCCTTCCCTGTAAAACTACTCCCTTGGAGGCATTATTGTATAGAATTACCATGGTGGCCAATGCGCATTTGTATTTGGACTGTATATTTAGTCCTTTGAAAACAGATTGTTGCCCTCTTCATGATAGAAGGGGCCAGGTATAATGAATCTGCCCCTTACTTGCGGGCTAGGACCTCTCCAGAGAACGGTACCAAATTAGGGGCTCAGTGTTGGTCCCAGCAGTTGGCTGCATGTGTACATAGCTGTGATGATAGGCATATCAGCCTTGATAAACAGATACCTATTTTGTTGACCCCATGCATAGCCTCCATTCCTGTTGCCATGACCACTTTGTACATGAGTCCATTGGGCAAGCATTAGTAAAAAGTCTGATTGACATTCATAACATGGATCACCATGTCCATCTGATTGAGAGGCTTCTTTACAGTGGATTCCCTTTGCTGAGTATTCACATAGGATGCAAATATATTCATTCTTTGCCCATCCTAGGAGGTCTATCATAATTTTCTTCTGGAATCCTTATTTCTAGTCTTCCAAATTTGTTCTTTGAGGTACCTAATTAATCAGATAACCCATTAGTCATTATCCATGAATCAATATAGATGTGTATCTTAGGCCCTGTTGCCTTCCATGAAAGTGGACAGCCAGGTGTATACCTGAAATTCTGCCTACTGGGAAGATTTGCCTTTACCAGTATGTTTCAGGTCACCTCAGAGTCAGGGTATAAGTAAAAGATTCATTTTCTGCTAGTGTCCACACACTGAGCAGACCCATCTATAAATCAGTTCTGTACTTTTTCCTCCTCTGTTAACTGGTGAGAGGGAATTGCCATTAGGCCATGAATATCAGCTAATGGGGAAGGGATTAGTGGAGCAATAGGAAAAGGTATTATGGCAACCCACATCACTAGCACATAGAATTTATTTGTCTTCCACACTTGCTTTTATAATGGAATGCTGGTTTGTATGTCCAGTTTTATGATTTGATGGATCAAATAGCTAGTTCACAATGGTCAGCTTGTAATAGTCATTTGGTGCTCTGTGGTCAAGCATTAAGTCTCTATTAGTGCCCAAGAGCAAGCCAATGTCTGTTTTTCACTTAGAAACTTGTTGGCAGAAGAGAGTATGGCCTTACTCCACTGACGTTCTCTTCTGGAGGCTTGCCAGAGGCTTAATACAGCATCCCTGACTCCTGCAGACACTTCTTACCATTGGTTATCCTGGTTAATAAAGTCATGTGACAGGACAGCTTGCATTGCAACCTGGACCGCTGCAAAGCCTTTTTTAAATTTTGAGTCTCACTCAAAGATAACAACCTTACAAGTTACTAATATTGGTCATTTCAGCACATTTGACTGTGGTATCTGTTGTCTCAAAAATGCAGCGCTCACCAAGTATTGTGCCTTTCTGAGGTAGTAACAGTTGGTTAGAGATACAAGGGAAGTGAGACAACAAACCATATGACTATCTGAGAGAAGAGTGTTTCAGGCAGAGGGAATAGCAAATGCCAGAGGCCCTTTAATGTAGCAGGAGCAGAGTCCGTCAGGGATAGACAGGAAATAGGGCTGGTGGTGGAATGAAATGAGAGCAGAGAGAGAAAGGACCGGATGGAACCTTCTAAGCCATAGTTAGAACATGGAATTTATTCCCAGTGTAATAGGAAATCACAGGAGCATTTTATGCATGATAATAACATATAAAGATCGCTCTGGGGATGCCTGGGTGGCTCAATCGGGTTAAGTGTCTGCCTTTGGCTCAGGTCATGATTCCAGGGTCCTGGGATTGAGTCCTGCATCGGGCTCCTTGCTCAGCAGGGAGCCTGCTTCTCCCTCTGCCTGCCACTCCCCTGCTTGTGTGTGCTCACGCTCTCTTCCTTTCTCTCTCTCTCTCTGACAAATGAATATATAAAATATTTTTAAAAAAAGATCACTCTTTTATGGAGAATAGGAGAAAGGTTAGTTAGCGAGAAGAAAACAAATGTTTTAAGAAGAGCGTAATCAACTATGTCAGATAAATACAGAAGAAGATTGAGAATTGACCATTGGATTTGTCAAGGTAGAGCTTATTAGAGATTCTGATAAGTGCAGATTTGATGGAGTTAAGGAAATAAAAGCCTGATTGCAGTGGGTTAAAAAGAGAATAGACTTAATATTGGTTAGCATATAGAGCAGTGTGAACTCATACACTCAACAGTAAGACCCAACAATTCTGGTCCTAAGTTTATGTAACCTGGAGAAACACTTGCATATGTGCATAAAAATAAATGTACTAGCAGATTCATATCAGCATTATTTGAAATAAAATGTTATTGTCCATTGAAGGAGAATGGGTAAATAAATTGTGTTATATGTCACACTATAGTGGTGAACATGAATAGACTGCAGTTACACACATGAATATAGATGAATCTTCCAAACATAATGTTGAGCAAAAAAAAAAGCAGATCATAGAATACATGTGATATAATTCCATAAATGTATATAGTTCAAAAACATGCTCTATTTGTCTGCTAGGGCTGCCATAACAAAGTATCACAGATTGGGTGGCTTAAACAACACAAATTTATTTTCTCACAGTTCTGTGCATTAACTTTTGTCATCTGTGCTTTGCTTTCTTCTAGAAATTTTATAGTTCTAGTTTTTATGGTTAGGTTTATATTACATTTCTAGTTAATTTGGGGGTATAGCATAAGGAAAGAGGCTTAATTTGTGTTATTGTTATATCCAGTTCTAACACTTTGTTGAAAAAAGACTGTCCTTTCACCATTGATTGTCTTGGCAACTTTGCTGACAGTCAGTTTTACATATATGTTTGATCTATTTATGGACTCAGTCATATTTCATTAATATATAGCCTGTCCTTATGCAATCCCACACTACTTTGATTACTGTAGCCTTATAATAAAGCTTAAAATCTGGTAGTGTAACTTCTCCAGTTTTGTTCTTCTTTTCCAAAATTGTTTAGACTCTTCTGTGCCTTTCTACATAAAGTTTAGAATCAATTTGTCAATTTCTATGAAAAAGCCTGCTGAGGTTTTGATTGGGGTTGCATTGAACCTATGGAGAATTAATTCCATCATCTTAACAATATTAAATCTTCTTCTCCATAAGTGATGGCATATATTTCTGTTTATTAGTTCTTCTTTAACTTCTCTTAGCAGTGTTTTGTAGTTTTCATGATAAACATATTACACATATTTTGTTGAATTTGTTTTTAAATATTTCATTTTTGGTGTAATTAAAAAAAATTTTTAATTTTAGGCTCTAGGGACGCCTGGGTGGCTCAGTGGTTAAGCTGCTGCCTTCGGCTCAGGTCATGATCCCAGGGTCCTGGAATCAAGTCCCGTGTCGGGCTCCTTGCTCAGCGGGGAGCCTGCTTCTCCTCCTGCTTGTGCTCTTTCTCTGTCTCTCTCTCTCTCTCTGACAAATTAAAAAAAAACAATTTAGGCTCTAGTTTTTCATGGCTAGTATACTGAAATACAGTTGGGTTTTTTGTATATTGTTCTAATAAACTCATGTACAAGGTCTAATAACTTTTTTGAGATACTTTAGAATTTTCTATATACATGATTGTGTAGTCTGTAAGTGAAGACAGTTTGACTTTTTTTTATTTGTATCTCTCATTTATTTTTCATGTCTTGTTGCATTGGCTAGTAATACTGAATAGAGTTTGTATAGTGTTGAATAGAAGTAGTAAGAGAGGGCATCCATGTTTTGCTCCCTTGTTCCTAGGAGAAAAGCATTCAGTGTTTAACCATTAAGTATGATGTTAGCTTTTGCTTTTTATACGAGTAGTTAATTTACATATAACAGGGACACCTGGGTGGCTCAGTAGGTTAAGTGTATGCCTTCAGCTCAAGTCATGATCCCAAGTCCCGCACTGGGCTCCTTATTCAGCAAGGAGTCTGCTTCTCCCTCTGCCTGCCATTCCCCTTGCTTGTGTGCTCTCTCTCTTTCTCTGACAAATAAATAAATAAAATCTTTAAAAAAAAATTTCATATAACATAGTTATTTGGATTTAAATGTACTATCTTTGTATTTCTTTTTATTAATCCCATCTTTTGTTTCTTTTCTTTCTCCTTTAATCCCTAATTTTACATTATCAGTTTCTTTTGTTTTTCTATTTTTTTCTCTATTAGCTTATTTTTTATACACCCTTTTATTATTTAATTGGTACCTCATAGCAGTGTGATTCTGTGAGAAATTAAGCCCCAGTGTTCTAAGGTATTACTTATAATTAATGTATTAATTTTTCTCCTGTACATGTATTGTAGCACTAGCTGTGTACCATCTTTGGGGAGAATTAAGAAGATGGTTATTCAGATCATTTTGTTTTATTTCCTTATGGAACCTGGTTGAAAAAGGCTGCCTAAGAAATTACAGCATATACGTTTGATTCATTAGTTTATCTTAATTTGTTATTTCTAGGAAAATTCAAAGATCTTACAATGTTTTGGTTCTGTTTACCTCTGTCCTCTTGTGCTATCTTTGCCATGTACTTTAATTCTCTCTATATTATAAACTCCATAAGACACTGATACTGCTTAAGTCGGTCAGTACACATGTAGATTTACCCATATACTTTACTTTTTGCAGTGCCTTTGCCTCTGGCAAAGGGAAGAAGCCTCCAGTTGGAGGCATGAGATATTTTTCCTTTTGCCTTTGAAATTAATGTGTCATGTTTTCAGCTCTCTAGACCATTTGCAGTCTGACCGTAGTATGCCTTTTATAGTAAATACCATTTAATAGTGGGCTGATAGTCAAGAATTTCAGCGGAGCCCCCATATTCCCTACCATCACAGGCATCTGGTATTATAAAGCATTGGAATGGCCTCCTCAAAACTCAACTCAGAAGAGATTTCTGATCCCACCTCCCTAACCTTTTCCTGGTTCATACACTTTGCTAAGGAAGTCTGGTTACTGAATATGGCTCTTCCTAAAATGGGATCATATTTTCTTAACCACTTCCTTGTAATAATCAGGACAAAAGAGTTGGATTATATAGACCTATTTTTGAAAATTCAGGTTTCTGTCCTTACCATTCCTGGACATTGATACTTCTTTCTTTCTTTCCTCTAAAGTAGCCTCTGATCAGCCTGGTTGGTGGTCCTCCCAGTGACAGCCAGGCCCCCACTGCCTCCTCCTTCTCCCCCTCCTTCTCCCCTGTCCCTCAAGTACTCTTTCATATTGCTTACCTTACTTACATTAATAAGTTGCTTGTGGGTTGGCTTTAATTTAGTCAGACTTTCATAATTACTGTGAGTAGGTTTCAGTATTCCCACATCTCCTGTGACAAACATATACAGAACATACCTGGTAAACTGCTTCAATAAATGATTATTATGACCCATTACTTACTGATTCTTCCTAATTGCTCTTTCAGAGGATTATTTTCAGTGTTTTGGAGCACTCTCATATTGTGACAGCATTTTATTTATTTTTTTTTAAGATTTTATTTATTTGACAGAGAGAGAGAGAGCGAGAGCAGGAACACAAGCAGGGGGAGTCGGAGAGGGAGAAGCAGGCTTCCCGCCGAGCAGGGAGCCCGATGCGGGGCTCGATCCCAGGACCCTGGGATCATGACCTGAGCCGAAGGCAGACGCTTAATGACCGAGCCACCCAGGCGCCCCTGTGACAGCATTTTATAAGTAAATACTGATCTCTTTCACCTCAAACTTTCTTATGGTAGGGAGAATACATTCCATTTGGATTTTTTATTGTTCTAGATGGTGAGACTAAGACCAAGATTGGAGAGGTGACTTCAGAGGAGGAAATTGCAACAAAAATTGAACCATTGCCTGAAGAGTCTGGCAACCCCAGAGATGATGTTCTCCAGGATTCTGAATGCAGAGGATTCTATGAATTGGGGGATAAATTAAATGAAAAGAATCAAAACCTCCTTAAAAGAAGACAGAATAACTGTGATGAATGTGGGCAAAGCTTTGCTTGGAGTACAGGCCTAATTAGGCACCGAAGAACCCATTGGGAGAAACCCTATGAATGTGATAAGTGTGGAAAGGCCTTTAGTGTGAGCTCAGCTCTGGTTCTGCATCAGAGAATTCATACAGGGGAGAAACCCTATCCTTGTACTTGGTGCATTAAAAGTTTCAGTCGGAGCTCAGACCTTATTAAACATCAAAGAGTCCACACTGGTGAAAAACCTTATAAATGTGATGAATGTGGGAAAGCCTTCAGTCAGAGTTCTGATCTCATTATCCATCAGAGAATCCATACAGGAGAAAAACCCTATCAATGCAGTCATTGTAGTAAATGCTTTAGCCAGCGCTCAGACCTGGTTAAGCATCAGAGAATCCATACTGGAGAAAAGCCTTATACATGTAACCAGTGTAACAAGCATTTTAGTCAGAGTTCTGATGTTATAAAACATCAAAGAATCCACACTGGGGAGAAACCATATAAATGTGATGTGTGTGGAAAAGCCTTCAGTCAGAGCTCAGATCTTATTCTGCATCAGAGAATTCACACTGGGGAGAAACCATATCCATGTAATCAGTGTAGCAAAAGTTTCAGTCAGAACTCAGACCTTATTAAACATCGAAGGATCCACACTGGAGAGAAACCCTATAAATGTAATGAATGTGGTAAAGCTTTTAATCAGAGCTCGGTCCTTATTCTGCATCAGAGAATTCACACTGGAGAGAAACCCTATCCATGTAATCAGTGTAGCAAAACCTTCAGTAGACTTTCAGATCTCATGAATCATCAAAGAATTCACACTGGAGAGAAACCTTACCCATGTAGCCAGTGTAGTAAAATGTTTAGTCGAAGATCAGACCTTGTTAAACATCATAGAATTCATACAGGTGAGAAGCCCTATGAATGTGATGAGTGTGGGAAAACCTTTAGTCAGAGCTCAAATCTTATTCTCCATCAGAGAATCCACACTGGAGAGAAACCCTATCCATGTAGTGATTGTACTAAAAGTTTTAGTCGTCGTTCAGACCTCGTTAAACATCAAAGAATACACACTGGAGAGAAGCCGTATGCATGTAACCAGTGCAATAAAAGCTTCAGTCAAAGCTCAGACCTCACTAAACATCAGAGAGTGCACTCTGGGGAAAAGCCCTATCACTGTGATCATTGTGAGAAAGCCTTCAGTCAGAGTTCTGACCTTATTCTTCATCAGAGAATTCACACTGGAGAAAAACCATACCCCTGCACACAGTGCAGCAAAAGTTTCAGCCAGAACTCAGACCTTATCAAACACCAGAGAATCCACACTGGGGAAAAACCATATAAATGTCCTGAGTGTGGAAAGGCTTTTAGTCAGTGCTCAGCTCTTACCCTACATCAGAGGATCCACACTGGGGAAAAACCATATTCATGTGATCAGTGTGGCAAAAGCTTTAGTCGGCGCTCTGATCTCATTAACCATCAAAGAATCCACGCTGGTGAAAAGCCATATAAATGTGATGCATGTGGGAAAGCCTTCAGCACATGCACTGAACTTAATGAACACCAGAGAATCCACACTGGGGAGAGACCACACACATGTGTTCGGTGCAGCAGAAGTTTTAGCCAGCTCTCTGATCTTATTAATCATGAGAAAGTCCATTCTGCAGAAGACAGGCTAAGTGTGATGAATGTGGGAAAACCTTTAGAGTATACACCGACTTTATTTCGTACCAGAGACACTATACCAGAAAAAAATCTTAGGAATGCTATTGAGGATTATGAAAAAGGTTTTAATCAGTGCTCAACTCTTGTGCTACATTAAACACACACACACACACACACACACTGGACAGAAAACATTAAGGTCTACAATGAATATTTAACTGAGAGTTCAGACATTACTAAACTTAAGAAAAATTCTGAAGAGGATCCTGTGAGTAATTGGGAAAACTTTCAATATGAATAAAAGTATTACTGAATGTCAGCAACAATGGAAAGAAATTTCTGTCTGCTATAAGGGAAAACAAGCCTCTGGTCTTATATTCAAATATAATCCACAAGGGGAGAGTTTTATCATTATAAGAAACGAATAACAATGCAGAACCTTATCAGATATTGTAAAGATCATGTGATGGGGTGTGCAATCAGCTCAGAAGGAAATGTGTTAGTGTTATCTCAAACCTTTAGTGAGCCCTAATTATCTATTGCATATCAGAGAAGTTACTTTAGAGATTGTAGGGAAAACGTAAATCCCATATCTTAATTGGCATTCACTCATAATCGGCATACCACCAACCTCCTGACAACGGAAGAGTCCTACCTGATGCTCACATTAGTTATCTGTCATTAAATTCCCTGTGTGTGAACGTGCTATGCTATTCTGGTATTAATACTTACTAACTACCTAACTCCAGTGCCGAGTTTTCCCAGAAAAAAATTTTTTTCTTTGGCCTAGTTTTGGTTTTCCTAATGAGCTTGAGTTTTCAGGTTCCTGCAATAGTCACAGCAAATATGGACTTATTTTGCTTTGGTAATGCAGTCCATAGACTAGTGGTTTGAAATCACTTCTTCAATATTACCATTTAATCACAGTTCCTAAATATGTGAAACAGAGTTTTTTTTTAAAAAATTCCATATGTCAGAGTGTGAAGATTTCTCTAGCACTGTTTATCTTGTCATCTATAGATTGAACAAAAATGAAAGCCAAAGTAATTCCCACATGACTAATTTGTATACCATATTCTGTCTAAAAATAAAAAGACTGAATTTTTCAAGTGGCAACATTTATCAGACTTTGGTTTGTTGATTTCTGATATACATATGATAATAGGCTACTATATGCAAAGTTTTCAGCTGAAAAATAGAAACTTTTTTAAAATAAAAAATCCAAATTGTTTTTCTAATATTAACCATTTGGTAAGATTCCACTACTATACTTTGAATATTCCCCATAATCATCCAGTTAATATATCACTTTAACACAATTACTGTTATTTACTATGTGCAAGGCATTATTTTAGGTTTTGTAGTATACACAGAGAATATACAAAGCATATGTGATAAAGCCTGATGTATACAGAAAACACATGTACAAGCATAGAGGTAAACAAGATGCTTGTAAGAGCTCAGGGGAAGTAGGGTTCATTCTGACTGGAAAGAAAAAGTTTGGGGAGCTCCTGAGACTTGAGTTTTGAAGGATGGGATTAGAGACATAAGGGCAGGAAGGGAGTAGTCAACAAAGGCACAGAAGCAAGGAAGTATAAGAAATGATGTGGAGTATGTGCTTAGTCTTTAATTCATTCAGTACACCTTCAGTGTCAGGCACTACTGAGCACTGCTCGGGGGAGAGAAAGGGTTCTTGCCCTTACGCTCCAGTGTTTCTGCAAATAATGACTAAAATGTACTTAAAAGAGTAAGAATAAGGTGGAAATAAAAATGAAGTAGGAGAAAAGACTGTTAAGGAGTATGATGCTAAACAAGCAGGCACTTCAACTTTCTGGCGTTTGGTATCATGTAAAATAGAAAAGTAGTAGTTAGGATTGAGTTTCATATTTCTGCATTTTGTTCTCAAGGCAGTGAAGGCCATTGAGGTCTTTGAACCAAGGAATGGCATGATCATCTCACTGCCTTCAGAAGAATAAAATTAAGCAGAGAAGGAAAAGAAAGAAAAACTATTTTGGAAGTCTGGAAATAAAAGCATGAGGGTCACAAGTCGAAGAGCTAAAAGGCATTGACATGACAATAATTTGAGAAGGGAGTAGGAAAAAAGTATAATTAATTAGCATCTGTTCTTTGGGGAATTTAAAAAGTGAAGAAATAGGATGATGAAATTTATATCTGAAGTTTACCCCTCTCTCCTGAGGATAAATTTTATTTATTTTTAAAGATTTTATTTATTTATTTGACAGAGACACAGCCAGAGAGGGAACACAAGCAGGGGGAGTGGGAGAGGGAGAAGCAGGCTTCCCGCGGAGCAGGGAGCCCAATGCGGGGCTCAATCCCAGGACCTTGGGATCATGACCTGAGCCGAAGGCAGACGCTTAATGACTGAGCCACCCAGGTGCCCCTGAGGATAAATTTTAAGAGCCAGCTGCTTACTACACACTTCTACCTAGTGTCATGAACTTAACACACACCCCCATGATATCCTCCTCCTGAATTCCCTATCCTGGTGAATTGCGCTGCTAAACACCTTGCCATACAGATGAAATCACTGGTAGCCGTCCTGCACTCCCCACTTTCCCCAGTTTTCTAAATCCACTTGCTCATTAGGTTTTAGAAATGAGTTACAAAAGTAACACTACTTATATAATTTTTAAAAGTCTAACAATAACAAGTGTTGAGAAGGAACATGGTAGATCAGTAATTGTATTACATCAGTAATTATATTACATGTAAATGGACTATAAGACAAAAATTCTTGCATTTTTTAAAGTTTATATGGTACTTACTCGAGCAAGACACACTGTAACGGCAAGGATCCAGGGAATTTGAAATTAAAGTATGGAAAAAGATACTCCATTA